TGATGAGGGAAAAAAGGTGAGTGGTGCGTTGAGGTATATGGGGAGTCAAAAAACGTTATCTATGGAGGCAAAGAAGGGAATGTATAAAAGTATAGTAGTACCAACACTCTTATATGGATGTGAAGCTTGGGGGGTAAATGCAAGCAGCGAGGAGACGGTTGGAGGCAGTGGAGATGTCCTGTCTAAGGGCAATGTGTGGTGTAAATATTATGCAGAAAATTCGGAGTGTGGAAATTAGGAGAAGGTGTGGGATTAATAAAAGCATTAGTCAGAGGGCAGAAGGGGGGTTTGTTGAGGTTTTTTTGGTCATTTAGAGAGAAGGGATCAAAGTAGAATGACATGGAAAGCATATAAATCTATGGGGGAAGGAAGGAGGGGTAGGGGTCGTCCTCGAAAGGGTTGGAAAGAGGGGGTAAAGGGAGGTTTTGTGGGCAAGGGGCTTGGACTTCCAGCAAGCGTTGCTGAGAAATGTTAGATAGGAGTGAATGGATACGAATGATACTTGGGACCTGACGATCTGTTGGAGTGTGAGCAGGGTAATATTTAGTGAAGGGATTCAGGGAAAACCCGGGTTATTTTCATTTAGTCAGACTTGAGTCCGGGAAATGGGAAGTACAATGCCTGCACTTTAAAGGAGGGTTTTGGGATATTGCAGTTTGGAGGGATATGTTGTGTATCTTTATACGTATATGCTTCTAAACTGTTGTGTTTCTGAGACCTCTGCACAAACAGTGATAATGTGAGTGTGTTGAAAGTGTTGAATGATGAGAAAGTATTTTTCTTTTGGGATTTTTCTTTCTTTTTGGGTCACCCTGTCTCGGTGGGAGACGGCCGACTTGTTGAAAAAAAAAAAAATATATATATATATATATATATAAATATATATATATATAAATATATATATATATATATATATATTATATATATATATATTATATATATAAAATATATATATATATATATATATATATATATACACATACATACATACATACATACATACATACATAAATACATACACAGTAGGGCCCCACTTATACGGCGGGTTAGGTTCCAGGCTGTCACTGGAAAGCAGACATTGCCGGAAGGCAGAACTCCATTTTTTTCCATTTATAAATGCATATAAATACCAGACAACAAATTTACACTAAATTATATTAAGTTAGTAATAGAACTAGGCATTAAAAACACACAAAGTAAAATACAGTCACAGTAAATTCATTACTTATCTTAAAGTATTTGTAATCTTAATGTAGGGAGAGAGGTGAGTAGTACATATTTGTAGGAAGTCAGGTGCAGGTAGCCCAGGTGTAGGTAGCACTGGCTCCCCGTCTCATACTTAATATACGATATTTAAAACATCCCAGAGAGGTAAAATGCACATACAGTACACTCATTATTTACCTTAAAATATGTGTAGTCTTAATATAGGAAGAGAGGTGAGTAGTATTTATTTGTATAAAGTCAGTGTATGTAGCCGGTAGGTGTAGCCTGGGCTACACCTACCGGCTACCTACACTGTGGCAGACTTATATTAATTCTTAACATTAAATCCTATTAAGGCTAAGTGACCACATCATAATTTGTGAGTTTAGCAATGTGAATGCTTTTGTTTTGGCACAATACAAAGTGTCTATATTGGAGTATCATAGGCAAACTTATGACTAGTTAAGATTTATTATTTTAAGATTAAGATTAGTATTTCTGGGTTTGTAGTCAGTTGGTGAGTGATTGTAATTGTGAACCACCAGGTGGTTATCATGTAGTTAGTTGTCAGGGTGTATCAGGGAGATAAGATGTTTTCTAACTGTAGTTTTGAAAGTGATGAATGTGTCTTCAGTTCTAGAGTTTTCAGGTAGGGTGTTCCAGATTGTAGGTCCTTTGAAATACATTGAATTTTTGTAAAGGTTTAGTCGAACACGGGGAATGTCATAGAGATGTTTGTGTCTGGTGTTATGCCTGTGGATCCTGTCACAACTATCATGAAAGCATTTTAGGTCAAGGTTAATATTGGAATTTAAGGTCCTGTAGATATAGATTGCACAGTATTAAGTGTGGATGTTCTGAACAGGGAGTAAGTTTAGATCTATGAAGAGTGGGGAAGGGGGGTGTTGCCAGGGATGGGATTTAGTGATTATTCTTACTGCAGCTTTTTGTTGTTTTATTATTGGTTTTAGGTGTGCTGTTGGAGTTGAACCCCAAGCACAGATAGCATAGGTGAGGTATGGATATATAAGTGATTGGTATAGTGTGAGAAGGGCAGTTTGCGGCACATAGTATCGTATCTTGGAGAGGATCCCCACCGTTTTGGATACTTTTTTTTGATATGTGTTGGATATGGGTGCTGAAATTTAGGTTGTTGTCGAGGTATAGGCCAAGGAATTTGCCCTCATTATGTCTGTCAAATAGAGTGTTGTCGATCTTAATGTTATGTTGCACAACACCTGCTCTGCTACCAAACGCAATATAGTAGGTTTTGCCAGTGTTAAGTGTAAGTTTAATGGCTGTCATCTAAATTTTATATTTGAGCAGTTCCTCATTAACAATGGTGTTGAGGGTGGCAAGATTAGGGTGGGAGATGACATAAGTCATGTCGTCAGCAAAGAGAATGGGTTTCAGGTGTTGGGATGTGTTTGGAAGATCATTGATGTAAATGAGGAAGAGCAGGGGTCCAAGGACACTTCCTGCGGAACTCCAGTATCAAGTGGCCGTATTGATGAGGCTGTGTCTTTAATGGAGACATACTAATACCTATTAGAAAGGTAGGATTTAAAATATGCAAGCGCATGGCCTCTTATACCATAGTGGTCAAGTTTGTGGAGTAGGATGCTGTGGTCTACTGTGTCAAATGCTTTTCTTAGGTCAATAAAAATTCCTAGCGGATATTCCTCATTTTCCAATGCTGTGTAAAGCAGGTCTAGCATATTTATAATTGCATCATTAGTGCTTTTATTTTTCCTGAATCCAAATTGGCAGGGGTTGAGTATGTTTTGTGACGTTATAAATGAATACAGTCTCCTGTGCACGAGTTTCTCGAAGATTTTGGATAGCAATGGTAAGTTTGATATTGGCCTATAGTTGTTTACGTCTGTAGGGTCACCACTTTTATGTATTGACGCAACCCTTGCTGTCTTGAGTAGTGTCGGGAAAGTGCTAGTTTCTAGTGACTTGTTAAAAAGTAATGTAATAGCATGTGAAAGGACATGGGCCGCTCACTTGTACAATAATGGTGGGATGTGAGACAGATTCCCCGAGTTATTTTTAAGTGACTATGATCGCGGTGACTTCCGTGGGCTCAGTTGGTACAAGATAGAAGGAGAGTAAAGGACAGTGTTGATAAGAAAAAGATGATGATTTCCATGGAATTAAAGCATGAAATCATAGATAAACAAGAGAAGTGTCCATTTTTTGGGTTGAGGGGGAATTGGGGGGGGAACCGGCTTGTAACTCAAATGTTGGCTCATAACTTAAAGCAAAAAATCGACCGATCAGTGGCTCGTATCTCAAAAAACTCATATGTTGGGACACTCGTAAGTCAAAGTTCCATTGAGTTATTATTATTATAATAACGATAGAGCTTCAGTTCCCAAAATTAATAATAATAATACATAATATGTATGTAATAATAATTCAAAATCCTCCCGCTAGATGGCACTACTGATGCCAAAGCATCGTACACATTTACATCGCTATGGGAGCAGTTCTCTTGTGCTTGTTTGCATTTTTTTACAGTCATTTGGCCAAATTTCTTTTTTCTAACCATTGCCCCTAAGAAAATAAGTGCAAAGAACAGTGCTGAGAAGAAAAAGATGATAATTTCCATGGGCTTAACCAGGCAATACATTGTATGCTGCACCCTCAACATCCCCCCTCCCTCATCATCCCCCACCCTCATCATCTACCATCAGCATCCCCAACCCTCAACATCCCCCTCCCACAACATCCACCACCCTCAGCATCCTCCACCCTCAACATTCCCCACCCTCAACATCCCCCACCCTCAACATCCCCCATCCTCAACCTCCCCCACCATCTCTGCTCCAAGTGTGTAAGTACATATACACTTCATATAAAATTTTATATGATATTTCTTATTTATAAAAACATTGTTTCAGTGTTTTCCTTAGAAAACTAGTGATCTACTGCAGTTAGCCTCAAAAATACTTCGTTTTCTCTTACAGTTAGAACATGGGAAGATACTATAGTCAAATTGGAACAGAAATGGCGCACGCTTCTGCTGCTGCCTCTGCTACCATATTATGGCCTATTATATTCATTCTAGAGTATATATCATGTTTCTGTGTTAATTTTATTGTTTATCATGTTATATTAGATGAATTGTGATAGATAAATAAGCCATACAGTTGAAAATAGCGTCATATTCAAGTATTTTTCTCGTCTCTCCAGAGTGCAGGAATGAATTAATGGCTTTTCAGTTAATTTAAATGAGGAAAATTAATTTGATATACGAGTAAATTGAGTTACGAGCTAGCTCCTGGAACGGATTAAACTTGTAAGTCAAAGTTCCACTGTATTTTGAAATTTGTGTGAAATTGCGCAAATTACCAATTTCTGATCACTTTACTGGTAGTTGAAATAGTTGATTGGGCAGTTTCTTGTGCTCAGTCAATGAAATGGAAAACACACAAGTGAAATAGCTAAGAATTTTGTCTACTGGAATAATGTAATTGACCTAAAATGGGAGTCAGAGTGGGCAAAATCGCTGATGTCTAAATATTATTGACAGTAAAATTCGCAAAAGTGTAATTTTGTCAATTTTCCATTAAATTTCTTACTTTTTGTTTTATTACCTTCAGGAAAAAATTCTCAACCATTTCATAAGAATTTTTTTTTCTTGTTAAATTCTTGGACAATGTGGACACTTTTTTGATTGGGGGTCTGGACCCCTCAAGGGGTTAATTACAGCTTACTCCACATTTTCGTGTGTATAACATTGATTACATGCTGTACATTTTCTTAGTATAAATTTGCTCTAACAGGTAGACAGGAACGTGACTCGTCACATCTCCAAGACTATGGCCTCAGACGACTGGGAAGTTCTTATACTTCACTACTTAGGCTTGGATCACATTGGCCATTTGGAAGGTCCTATGAGCCCACTAATAGGACCCAAGCTGCTGGAAATGGACTCAGTGATAAAGAACATTCATCTAGAACTAGAAAAGAAGGTAAATATAACTTGATTTAATAGACTGATGAAGTTGATTGTGTGAGTGTTAAGCCAGAATAAAACTCACTTACTAATACATCGGCTGTCTCCCACCAAGGCAGAGTGGCCCAAAAAAGAAAAACTTTCATCATCATTCACTCCAAGTGCACCTCTGGCAAGACAGTAATGGAGTAACTGATAAAAGTTTTTCTTTTTCATGCCGCCCTATCTTGGTGGGAGATGGCCAATGTGTTAATAAATAATAAAAAAAAAAACTAAAGTGCTCTACTGTACACCTAATATCGTACTGTACTCATGCTTTATACTTGCATTATAACCTTGAAAATAAAAGAAATGGACAATTTACTCATTGGGTTTTACCCATTACTTTATAGGTTACAGATATTAAGGTACATTACAGTTTTACAATAAGCCCTCGGACTTATTGTATCATCATAATTAAAGGGTTATATATTATCTCAGTGGCACGAGTGCAGGTGTTATTTCTTTCTGTTTCATAAACATATAAAATAACAAGTACAGTGGACCCCCGCATACCGATGGCATCACATAGCGATTAATCCGCATACCGCTTGCTTTAATCGCCAAAATTTTGCCTCACATACCGCTTAAAAACCCGCTCACCGATTTTCGTCCGAGACGCGTCCAATGTGCGGCCTGAGCCACGCTCACATGTTCCGCCGGTGGCATTGTTTACCAGCCAGCCTCCGCGGTAACATCCAAGCATACAATCGGAATATTTCGTATTATTACAGTGTTTTCGGTGCTTTTTCTGGAAAATAAGTGACCATGGGCCCCAAGAAAGCTTCTAGTGCCAACCCTACAGCAATAAGGGTGAGAATTACAATAGAGATGAAGAAAAAGATCATTGATAAGTATGAAAGTGGAGTGCGTGTCTCCGAGCTGGCCAGGTTGTATAATAAACCCCAATCAACCATCGCTACTATTGGTGGTACAGCTGCTGCTGCTGCTGCACTGTCAGCTGCTGCTGCTGTTGCACTGTCAGCTGCTGCTGCTGCTGTAGCATCGTCTGCTGCTGCTGTAACATCGTCTGTTGCTGCTGTAGCATCGTCTGTTGCTGCTGTACCACCGTCAGCTGCTGCTGCTGCTGTAGCATTGTCTGCTGCTGCTGTAACATCGTCTGTTGCTGCTGTAGCATCGTCTGTTGCTGCTGTACCACCGTCAGCTGCTGCTGCTGCTGTAGCATCGTCTGCTGCTGCTGTAACATCGTCTGTTGCTGCTGTAGCATCGTCTGTTGCTGCTGTACCACCGTCAGCTGCTGCTGCTGCTGTAGCATCGTCTGCTGCTGCTGTAACATCATCTGTTGCTGCTGTAGCATCGTCTGTTGCTGCTGTACCACCGTCAGCTGCTGCTGCTGCTGTAGCATCGTCTGCTGCTGCTGTAACATCGTCTGTTGCTGCTGTAGCATCGTCTGCTGCTGCTGTAGCATCGTCTGTTGCTGCTGTACCACCGTCAGCTGCTGCTGCTGCTGTAGCACCGTTGTTGGTGTGGCTTATTGAGAATACCAAGAAACAATTAACCCCAGAGGATTTGCCACCCAGGATAACCCAAAAAAGTCAGTGTCATCGAAGACTGTCTAACTTATTTCCATTGGGGTCCTTAATCTTGTCTCCCAGGATGCAACCCACACAAGTCGACTAACACCCAGGTGAACAGGGAAAAATGCCTGGAACTAGTGCTCATATTGGTGAATTTAAAGCCAGCAAAGGTTGGTTTGAGAGATTTAAGAATCGTAGTGGCATACACAGTGTGATAAGGCCTGTTCTGGAAGAAAATGCCAAACAGGACCTACAGTACTCAGGAGGAAAAGGCACTCCCAGGACGCAGTGTCTCATCAGTCATTGCTGCATCTTCAATAAAGGTAAGTGTCATTTATTCTTCATTTAGTAGAGTAGTACATGCACAATATATACTGTGCATGTACTACTCTACTATTGTGCATGTATCCTTCTCTTTGTGTGTGGGAAAATGTATATTTCATGTGGTAAAAAATTTTTTTTTTCATACTTTTGGGTGTCTTGCACGGATTAATTTTATTTCCATTATTTCTTATGGGGAAAATTCATTCACATACCGATTATTTCGCATAACAATTACCCCTCTTGCACGGATTAAAATCGTTATGCGGGGGTCCACTGTACGTACATTGCTCTGCTTCTTACATCTAGTTCATGCTACAGATGCAGTTGTGTTTGTTTATGTGTATGTGTACAGCCTCTCTTCACTTAGCATACTCGTTTACCGATGACTTGAATTTATGATGGGCTTTCTGACCAGTATGCATACCTAAATAATAAATATTAACCCTTTGACTGTCACAGGCCCCTTTCTGAAACTGTCATTCTATGTCGCAAAATATTCGAAAAAAAAAAAATTCTTATGAAAATGTTAAGATTATTTTTCTGAGTGTTTTAGTCCAAAAAAAACAATTTTTGCCATCAGTACTTACCGAGATATAGAGGCGTGAAGTTTGCAGAAAATGAGCCGCGTATGGCAACAGCGGCGACTGCCGCTCACCTGGTAAACTTTGGTTTACTTGTATTTGAAGGTTTATTGTTTTTTTCACTATTTTATTTTTTCACATAACTTATGTGGCCTGTGAGACCAAAGTAAGGTGCAATGTACATATATACACTCGTTGTATACAACACAATAAGCACACAAACATAATTATCAATATATTGTTTACAAAACTTGTTTACAAAAACAAACAATACAAAAAATTGTTTATTACTATTGTTCTATAATATATATACAAATGTACAGTCACCGAACATATCCCTAGAAGTTCTGCAGCTTGTGGAACTCTTTGAAACATGTTTTCATACACAATGGTGCTTTACACTCCTCACACATAAAACCAGTGTGTGTGCATTTTTGTGGACTTTTTTTTATGTGCAAAGACAAAACACCTGGTCTGAGCAGTTTTCCTCAAAATATTAGCAGGCAGTTGTGTTATGTAGTTATCCTAGGTCGTGTGTCATCATTCCTTCCTTCCTGCATTTGTTTCGTACCTTCCTTCCTACCTTCCTGCATTCCTTTCCTACCTTCCAACCTTCTTTCCTACCTTCCTGCATTCCTTTCCTACCTTCCTGCATTCCTTTCGTACCTTCCTGCAATCCTTTCCTACCTACCTTCCTACCTTCCTGCATTCCTTTCCTACCTACCTTCCTACATTCCTTTCCTACCTTCCTTCCTACATTCCTTTATCTTTCCTTACTTTTTTCCTTCCTTTCATCTCGTCCTTCCTTCATTCCTGCCTTCCATTTTTCCTTCCTTCTGGTTTCTATAATAAATACAGTGGACCCTCGCCTAACGAACGCATCACATAACGTTAAATCCGCCTAGCGATACATTTTAACGCAAAAATTTTGCCTCGGCTTGCGCTAAAAAACTCACTCAACGCGATTCGTTCGAGACGCGTCCACATGTGGCCTGACCCCGGCTCACTTGTTCCATGGGTGCCAGTGTTTACAAGCCAGCCACCGCGGTCACTTCCAAGCATACAGTCAGAACATTTCATATTATCACAGCCTTTTTAGTGATTGCACCTGCAAAATAAGTCACCATGGGCCCCAAGAAAGCTTCTAGTGCCAAACCTACAGCAAAAAGAGTGAGAATTACTATGGATATGAAGAAAGAGATCATTGCTAAGTATGAAAGTGGAGTGTGTGTCTCCGAGCTGGCCAGGTTGTACACAAAACCCAATCAACCATCGCTACTATTGTGGCCAAGAAAACGGCAATCAAGGTGCAACTTTGTTTTCAAAACAGAGATCGCAAGTGATAGAAGATGTTGAGAGACTGTTATTGGTGTGGATAAACGAAAAACAGATAGCAGGAGATAGCATCTCTCAAGTGATCATATGTGAAAAGACTAGGAAGTTACATGACAATTTAATTAGAAAAATGCCTGCAACTAGTGATGATGTGAGTGAATTTAAGGCCAGCAAAGGTTGGTTTGAGAGATTTAAGAATCATAGTGGCATATATAGTGTGACAAGGCATGGTGAGGCTCCCAGTTCGGACCACAAAGCGACTGAAAAATATGTGCAGGAATTCAAGGAGTACATAGACAGTGAAGGACTGAAACCTGAACAAGTGTTTAATTGTGATGAAACAGGCCTGTTTTGGAAGAAAATGCCAAGCAGGACCTACATTACTCAGGAGGAAAAGGCACTCCCAGGACATAAGCCTATGAAAGACAGGCTTACTCTGTTGATGTGTGCCAATGCTAGTGGTGATTGCAAAGTGAAGCCTTTATTGGTGTATCACTCTGAAACTTCCAGAGTGTTCAGGAAAAACAATGTCCTCAAGGCTAATTTGTGTGTGCTGTGGAGGGCAAACAGTAAGGCATGGGTCACTAGGGACTTTTTCTATGACTGGTTACACCATGCATTTGCCCCCACTGTGAAAAATTACCTAATTGAAAAGAAATTAGACCTTAAGTGCCTCCTGGTATTAGACAATGCTCCTGGTCATCCTTCAGACATGGCAGAGTGACTTTCTTCGAAAATGAGCTTCATTAAGGTCAAGTTTTTGCCTCCAAATACCACTCCTCTCCTGCAGCCCATGGACCAGCAGGTCATTTCTAGCTTCAAGAAACTGTACACAAAAGCTATGTTTGAAAGGTACTTTGTAGTGACCTCAGAAACTCAATTGACTCTAAGAGAGTTTTGGAGAGATCACTTTAGCATCCTCAATTGTGTAAACCGTATAGGTAAGGCTTGGGAGGAAGTGACTAAGAGGACCTTGAACTCTGCTTGGAAGAAACTGTGGCCAGAATGTGTAGACAAAAGGGATTTTGAAGGGTTTGAGGCTAACCCTGGGAATCCTATGCCAGTTGAGGAATCCATTGTGGCATTGGGGAAGTCCTTGGGGTTGGAGGTTAGTGGGGAGGATGTGGAAGAGTTGGTGGAGGAGGACAATGAAGAACTAACCACTGATGAGCTGCAAGATCATCTTCAACAGCAAGAGG